TGTATTTGCGTGCTTATTATCTTATTATCGGATTCTCTATGCTAAGCTGGCTTTTCTCTTGGTAGACTCTTTCTAAGGGGACAAAAAGTGGTTCAAAATTTTTCACTTGAGAACAGCTAACGGCTTTCCTTATTAGTTGTTGGCAACAGTGTTGAGTTTTTAGCTGTTGGGTGTACATTACAGGTTCTTCAAAGTAGAACTTCAGCTAGTTTAATATGGTTATCTGATCCTTGTTTTCAAATGCTTCTTAGTTTGGGCTTTTTGAGCTTCTGTAGTATCCTTAGTGTAATTCTAAAGAGAAAGTAAATCAAGATGCTAAAAATTACGATTTGTCGGTCGCCTGTCAATAGTTTTTTTTCATTCAGATCCCGTTTTAGGTAAGCTCCTGTCAGAGTAAACATTTCCACTTCTGAAAATTAGCTGGTGCGTTAGCATGAAAAATGAGATATTGTGTTTTCAAATAAGAGTCGTGCTTCAATTTAGGTAGTCGAATAGTCGAATAATAAACTCCGACGAAGTTGTCGATGACCAAGAAAGTTGCTGATACATTTTCCTGTGATCTTTTGCAATTTAGCAGTTTCCTTTGTTCGCTCAACGCTTAATACCACTAACCGCACTGAAGCATCTTCTTTGATGTTATCTGAACATCTGCGGTTATCCTTGCAGGAAACGCTTCTCAGGGTGAAATATTTATTTGGCTACTGACTTGAAGCTGCGACGGAATTTTCGCAATAATGGGACAGCTCCGTAGTATAAACACGCCCTTCCTGCAAACAATACTCTAAAATGGTAAACTACAGTAAACTCTTTAACAGTAGATGATAAAGGTGACTATCTATTTAACTGTCTTAGTTAATCATTCTTCTAGAAGTAAGCAACAATTTATAGCGGACTCTCTGTAACAGTTTCAAATTGGATGCTTTTATTTTTCCCAAAGGTATTTCTTTGGAAGAAGGGACATTGAGTCATTGTTCTCCAGTTTACTGTTAGGGGATCGCCACCAAAACTTTTTCATGGTACGAGTTTTTTAGAACTATTGTTCGTTTTGTTTGCTACAGCCTTCTCGCTTGCAGATTTGTTCATATATTCATCTCTAGAATCATGGGCCGTGCGTCTTTTAGTGTCTCTTTCCTGCAGAGACAAGTTTTCTGAAATATTTTTAAAGAGTTGTTTTCTTTATGAATTTCTCAGTTTTTACTAGTTTCACTGTTTCTTGGTTTTTATTTAATACTTTTAGGATATCGTTATTTGTTACTTTTGCCCCCGTAACTATTACCTTTTCCGATGCTGAAATTAGTTGGGAATCTGTTGTAAACCATTGCGGGCACACTTGAGTAGTCTCTTTTGAAGTGATCTCGTTCGTTATTTTCGTTTATATATATGTAAAATTATCTTTTCATTATTTTTAGTAACAATTGTTGTTAGCATGATAAATTTTCACTGATTGAGTAGCGGTTAAGGTAGTTTGTGTGGGTGGCAGTGAAAGATTTCCATGTTGCGATTAAAAACTCTCAGTAACAGTGGATTTGCTTTTTTGTAACTCCTGTATTGCTGCTGTCATACAAAAGTCGTGCTTCAGTTCATACAAGTTTGATCTTTCAATTCGTTTTACTCTGCGATGCTGATTCGTTTCATATGTGTGATTAGCTGTAGGGAAGCTTCTCAGCGTTAAAAATTATTTTGACTTTCCTAACTTTTTAAACTTGGTGCTCAGGAAGTACTGTAACATTTTCTTAATAAACGGGAAGAAGACGTTCCTTTTAGGTTTTTCTCAGGAGTAGACAGAATGGCTTTTGATAATTAGTAGTTCAGTTGAGGACTTGACGAAAGGGGTTTTAATGCATTCAAATAGGTCTAGTAATGGAACCTGAAATTCTGATTTGGAGATTTTTAACTTTTATAAAATTCTCTCATAAAAGTACTACTTTTTAGCTTTTTTTTGTGCATTATGACTTCCGAACAGTACAGTTTTACGGATTCAGTCATTTCTGAGAAGTTATAACTTTAACTGGTCACATTTGGAATAAAAATTAACTTCTTTATGGATTTTTGCAGTAATAGATTATTATTTCTGCTGAAGTGTTATAATTTTTTACTCTCTCTACTAGTGAGGTTTTATTTATTGCAGTGTTACCTTCAATTTTTTTAAGTTACTTAGATTTGTGGTCACGATTGTTTGGGAGCAAAAAAATTTTCCTAAATGAATATTTTTTTATAAGGATTTGGTTAGGGAAGATTTGTATGACTGGAATTTTGAATTCGAGGTTTTTTGCTATATAGGAATACTAGTTATTATTGGCGGCCACCGGTTAGAAATGTGGTTTAGTCGTCGAGTCTTTGATGCTTACGCTTTTTTTTATTTTGTCGGTTTACTGGATTTTTTGCCTGTCGTGAAATATCTGCACTTCTAGAACATTGTTTTTTACAACAGTAGTTGAGATCGATGAAAAATGGGTAACAATTTTTCGAGGGAAGCGGAAACAGAACGTGCGTATCAACGTCTCAAACAAGCTTATGATGACCAGGTATCTTTTGTGGTGGAAATGGTGGTTTTCTATGACATTAAACTAGTAAGCTAAAATGAATTTTTCTTCCAGCTAGCCAATGAAATAGCCTTGCGTACGATAAACATAGAACAGGAAGAAGCTTTAAAGGTATAATTTCTGTGCTCATATTACGCAATTAGTAGAAAAAGTTTCGAGTCTAAAGCATAAAAAAGCCTTGATTCAAAGACTTAACGGCTTTCAGTTTGCTGCGCAAAAAAGGAGTCTTCCTTATGAGGGGTTGTCGTTGGCATGTATACTTGGAGGTCTTTTTGTTATTTCTCATAAGTACAAGGCAAATCTGCTTGCTTCTACCTTGTCAGTTCCTCTTCTTTTCGCTTTTGGATATCGTTTTGATGCTGTTTATGGCAACCAGGCGGAAAGTGT